AAGAGTGAAGAGACGGAAGAGTGGTGCTTTGTGGGTCCTTATACTCCTATTATCGTTAGGCTGTTGTACCCTTTCGGTTCCTAACTACCCCGCCAACCGAAGAAAGCAAGAGGGCTGAGATACTGTCAGGTTATCTATGCCTAGACAGGGAAAGTCGAGAGGTAGAGGTCGGGTTCGAACCAAGGACTTTCTGGCTAGTAAACTCGCGCGCTAACCACCTGAGCCCCTTATTGGGAAAGATTACGAACAAGATCTGCATCTGCTCGAACAGCGCTCAAATGCGCACAGCTAAAAAACTGGTCCCACTGAGGCGATATCAGTTCGGTTGAATCGGCACCCTTTATACGTTTCTTCCAATGGCTGGTGGTCCGGCTAGGAGGGTGACGAGGTTTTTGCTACTGAGATCGCTGATGAGCTGCTTTCAGTTATGCACGTAAGGATGAAAGCGTGAAGATCCCAAATCACTAAGCTTGAATGAATGCTAATGCTTTCATTTTCACATCGCTGTGTTGCAATTTGTCCTCCACAAAGCGTCCCGTAACGGTTGGTTGGGACACTTCCTTTTGTAGCACTTGATTGGGTATGTCCCATGCATGTTCCAGCCGTCCTAACCTAGTAAACTTCATATACGTAGAACACTACTCACAAAGTACAGGTGACAGACGGCCAGTTTAGTCACCTGATTCGGTGTATCCATCCACTTGCGATAACGTGGTGGATTTGTTTTTTGTTCATGCATTTCTCCCCTTCTTTCCGATTTTGGAGTGGATTGTGCATCAACGCCTATGTCTTCTCTTCTATTTGACATCCCCGTGCACTACACCCCATGTAATACCGGCTGTCCACTATTTCGGCCTCAAATTCACGCCTATTTGATTTCCTCTCTATTGAACTTGATCTTTGGTCAGAGAACTCAGTCCGAGCTGAGTCCCCTAAAACTAACCCTCCACAATCATAAATCACTCTCCCTTGCTTCTCAAAGAGACCCCAGACTGTGGGTGTGCGCATCTCTTCCATCATGAACTGCCCTACCCATCTTGTATGCTTTCCAAACTGAGTTCCTTCTCACGATGGCGGTACGCTTGATCTTTTTTTAACCCAGCATCTCTCAGGTCACGTTTTGACCACATCTGCTTTTCTGTGGTTCTCTAGAGCATTGACTTGTCAATATCTCCCACCCATTTCTTTTTCCAGAATATCTGATTGCAGTAGTATGCGTCAGATTTCTGTAGAGGTCTCTTTTCAGTGGATTCTTCACTGTTTTGCCTAAAACTACAATGATCCGTCCGTGCGTTGTGGGACACGTTACGTTTGTCAGATCCTCCGAATGGTTTAGCTGTGGGTACCTAGGAGAAGGTAGGAAAGAAACCAGAGTTTGCAGATGTTGATGAATGCTTCTTTTCCCCTTCGATGCGCGCTGATTGCGCTGAAGCACGTTGCGCTTTATTTGTCCTGATCCCGTCTTGTCAGCTTCGACAAGTTAGCTACATACGAAAGGCCCACCAAGTCAGATGCGAAACCTCTGGGCTTCATGTAAACACCACAAGCAACCACATCAACAAAATCATCCAGAAACGACCATGTGGTCGACTGGTGGCCTCCACATCCGCTTATTCTGGTTACCGTTTGACTAGGCTCCACCTGAACAATAGCTTGTTCCACACGTGTCATTCACACGAGGTCCGGTGGGGCCGAGAAGGCGTCCACCTTAGCCTTTGGATTTGAATCACAGCAACAGTCAAGCCTGAATCTCTCACGGTGGTTTTGTTGACGCCCCTGAAATAACCAGTCTAGCTGTGTTTACCTGACACTCTACTGAAAGGTGCATAAACAGGCAGACATGCGAACAACTCAGTTCTGGTGCTGACCCAAAACCATTATTCCACTTGAATAACTGGGCGCACTTGATTTGCTGCAATCGAACCTCGACCACACTCCCCTTAGCCCCAATCTGACGCCAACCTACCCGAGTTTAATCGGCCGATTTAACAAAGCTGCCTTGTCGCAATGACAGCGCAGATACGGAACAAGTCAAAGTAGAGTGAAAACAGCCATTAATGATGAATGACTCGGCAGTTCACTCGCTCGTGAAAACCAAGTTGATTTGCAAATGAGTGCATTTCTCAAGAGCAGTCCAATTTGGGTTCAATTAAAACACAAGGTTGACGGAAACCCTGGGACTGCGCCTACCTAATGAGCCCCAATGAGGGCGATACCGGTCGTGGGCTGTCGAAGAGTTTTCAGCAACCTTGTGAGTAGTTTCCTTCATGAAAATATACTGCGATATCTCGAATATCGTGCCAAGTGAAACATGAGGCGGCCTGTGTGCAGCGCATTCAGTTGTAGAATATCATAAACGAGAGATTCAGTTGGGTCTCTCATGAAAACGGAATTGATTTGCAAATGAGTGTATTTCTCGAAGAACTGAGATAGTTATGGCTCAAAGTCGAGCAATTTCACGCCACAACCAGATCTAAAATTGCCTCCAGGTGGTCTCACAGTGTGGGGTTATGCAATCGCCCAAAGTAAACCAACTAAATAACGGCCCTCGCTAAGACGGCCTAACAGTGATTGAATGGAATGGAGATTTATACGACAGACAAACCTGATCAACGTTTGACAGTGTTTCTTACCGTCTGGGTTACCTCCAAACGGTCAGCAGGACAGCCACTGACAACCTAAATCACCTAACCAGTAAACGGCACATTGATCACCTGTTATGCAGGCTTACTTAATTCGCAACCTTTGCAAGATTTATTACGCTTCCTTTTCGGCAGGAACAGAAAGCTGGCGCAACGAAAAACCGAGAATTGCGATGAGTGTTATGCAATCGAAATGTACACACCCACTCGAATCGAAAGAAACGGGCGTGTCCACAGAATCGTGCCACATTAGCTAGCTGGAGAATTAGCCATCTGCAGCGAAGTGTACGGTCATCACATAGGCCGTAAACAGATGCGAAACACTGTGCAAAAATTGGATCAATAGGCAGTGCGGAGTGTTGTCACTTGGGACGATATATTGGAAGTCAAAATGGAAGTATCACGAGGTTGTGCGACTTAGTGGACTGGAACAGAGACCCGAAGTGCCCCGGCGTAGCGTCCGAGCCATCTACGTTGTGTAAACAAAGTGACATGCAAACCACGCTGCAATTCGGAGTGCCGAAAATACATAGAGTGCTGTTCTGTAATAACGATTCGGTTGTGCTTTTTTACTCCGCGTTGAAACCAGTGCGTACAGTTCCTAGTTAGGTGGTGTGCAAGCGTACTGACGAATTTTGCTGTTGCAAAATACTACTGAAGATCAATCTGGCAAAGGATCTCTCAGCATGTGTATTACAAATTCGGTAGGCTAACCTGCCGTGTGATGAGGGAACAAAAATTTGCAAGAACAACCGATGAGATTTCCGCGTTTCGTCGTGCATCCCACTCTTTGTGACGTATTAAAATTGTAAGACAACGGGAATCTGATTGGTTTTGTCTCCTTTCGTTGGTCATTCTAGCGCCAACGTGTTTAATTACAACTGTGATTCTATGGGAGTTTTAAGCCCACGAATGAATCCCCGTGTCGTGGAAAGATTAGGTCCATGCTGGCTAGACGAATGCGTTACATTTGGCTTCGGTTACTCTTTTGCTATCGGTCAACCAATCGAATCGTCTGTGGGACTCGACTGTTTATTCGCACAGCACTTCCGTTGTGGAAGTGAACATTAGCCGAGACACTAAATCTATGGCATAGGAGGAACATCCAGCACCTCTTGTATGGAAAGATGTTATATTTATCCCATTACTATCCACTACCGGGTCTCTCCGACCAAATGCTATCGGTATAACTTCAGACTACAATTCGAACGTGAATTTTGCAGGCATGAATTGCCGCACTTTTGTCACGGATTGTTTCACTTGGACCATGATGGTTTCCTTTGGATCGATGTGTGGAGCAAAAATTGTGTTCGCGCCCAACAGAATCCTGGCTTCCGCGACTAGAGCCGCAGGGTTTCGCTTGTTCATACTCTCCAGAAGTTGCCGTCGAGTTTCCTATAAATTAAAACGCCGCTGAACTGAATTTATCGCTTATTTGGCTCGGCGAACGGAACGAATTCTATCTCCGAGTAACACTAATTTGCTAAATTTTGTGGCTGCAGGCTAAAAATGGTTGAAAACTGGTCTAATTTTCCCGTTTACATCGTTACCCTTTTTGATTAGTGGAGCCGCCTTTGAGTTGCACGATTCTCTTTCGAGAAGTTTCACCATGTTTCTGTTTAATTTTCATTTAATTTACACAATGACATTTGGGTCGAAGAAGTTGTACAACACTTCCCGTCGACATAATTCACCGTAGTTCGTGCATGGATGCTCAAACATGGTCAGATGTCAGATCTGGGCTCATACAGGATGTTTTATATAAGTGGGGGACCTTATTTGGATGTGTTAGACCACTTTGGCCAGCGATTCTGTAGTATGGATTGAACGGATCCATAGCTGACAACACCACCAGAGTAGCTACTCAACTTGGGTCTACCCAATGGAAGTTTGAGCTTGCTTACGCAGCTTACGCAGTGCAAACGCTTTGCACTTCGGAGGCGTTGGTGGCCAAACGATTGCTGACCTTTAAGTCCTCGGATCAGTCAAGGTTTGCCGTCATAAAGTCACTGATTTGTGTTGTATGCACCATCCTTTTTTGCTTCAGCGACGTTCGTTTCTCACACCAAGTTGAACAGTTTTACTCATGCCTTGTCATTTAGCGCACTGAGTCAGTCTGCTACGGTATCATTTCAGTCATGTATCAATATATATACATAAATGTATATGTTGGTTGGTAAACTTAGGTCCCTCACTTTGAAGCCGCAAAGAGCGGTCTTGCTGTTCGAAGTGCAAAACATATGTAGGAACAGGCTACTCGGTCAAGAGTTGTTTTAGTGAACAGCTGGTCATCAAATAGAAAAACACCCTCATCCGAGTCTACCAGACTTTCTACAGATGTGGTTTTGACGCCTAGATTCATACTTTTCTCGCAGTTCGCATTCATTCAGTGACAAAATCGAAGGCAAAAGTAGGATAGGTAACCGTAGTGGATCTTATTTCTGGCGTGAACTGTTCGTTTTGCACGGGAATATTAGCCCTTGAACCCCCTCCCTTTGGCCAAGTATGTATAGCGTGGCTGACCTATCCACGAAATCGAAGGTTCCTGTAAAGTCAGGGCATACGGTGACTTTTGGCTTTGCCGGAAGAATTGACATGGTGCTGTCGATGCGGCAACTTTCTCCTCTGGCCGCTTTTAAACATGTGTCTAGTGTGCCAAATTTCGGCTTCTTGTAGCCATGTTATGACATGTTTATGGCTCAGGCTAGCTCCGGCGGAAACATATCGTTTCAAGACTTAGAGACATACGAATAATTTGGAATTTGAGGGAGGATTGGGGTCGGAGCACGATAGAAAAGATGCGAATGCAAACGGCGAGTTCATGGGCAGTTGGCTAACTAATCTACTGTCGGAAATACTTCAGCCAGCAGTCATGAGGCGGCCTGTGTGCAGCACATTCAGTTGTAGAATATCATAAACAAGAGATTCAGTTGAGTCTCTTGTGAGAACCAAATTGACTTGCAAATAAGTGTGTTTCTCGAGAACTGTCCAATTTTGGTTCAAGTAGGTTGATAGAAACTCGGGGACGACGCCTACCTGTTGAGCCCGAGTCGGAAGGGCGAAACCGGTCGTGGGCTGTCGAAGAGTTTTCAGCAACTTTGTGAGTTGTTTCTTTTATGAAAATATAGCCACTTGTTTATTAGATATGAATTTTTCCGTATTGTATCGGACTGACTTACCAACAGGTTGTCTCTTAGGTCCCCTTTTCAGGTCTAGTTGAGCCAGCTTGCAATACTTTGTTCCCCCGTTCTGCTTTTGTCCGTACATGGATTTCTGTTGAACAGTCGTATGAGCTGTCTTGCGGGGTGATTGCTCTTTAATAAGCGGCTACAATTCAAGTCGAGGGACTCAATGATTCTCAGGTACCATCAGGCTTAGACAGCATCTTTCGAAAAGTCAGTAACAAGCTGGGAAAATCAACCTTTGGTTAGGATCTCAGAACTCGTATTCCAAATTATCTCGAGCCCATTTAACGAAGAGACATGGTCAAGATACTCTAGATAAAAAACTGCGGTTTATCGGACCTTCACAAACTAATAACTCATCGAAGACCACTCCCGATAAAGTCAGTGTTGATATGATCTGAATACAGCCATTCCCACATTCCTGGATTTGTAACGCAACCATCTTCAGAGCAATTCGCTCGATGTTGTGACAATCTGGACAACAGAAATGTTCGGGCAAACGAAATCACCTTTGCAAACTCGCACTCTTTCGAAGGTCGCGAATAAGGTTGTNGCAAACTCGCACCCTTTCGAAGGTCGCGAATAAGGTTGTACGTACGCACGTCTGAGCGTTCTCTAGATTTTCACAGCAGAGCGTAGGTAACGCTGCTCCTGTGGTCCATATCACATCCAAGATCTTGTGGTCTAATGACGAATGCGCTTGGCGGACACTGCTTTCTCGGTCTACTTCAGGCTTTACAAGTCGGATATGTCGCCGTTTCTGAATGTATTGTGCACTTTTGTGGCGTAGTACCACACCCCTTGTTTAGTTGGAACTTGTGTTTCCGCTACTACTGATTTGAGGTCAATCGGCTGACCTACATTAATAGTTTTAAGAAATTCATGCTTTTGTCTTTGTGTTGAAGCAGTTAGGGTCATATATATGAGAAGCACTAAAGTATGCTGCTCTAAACTAATGTAGAGTTTTTTTTGATTCCAGCCGATTTCAGCAACCGTACTCAGTTCACACGCCTGCATGGCCACGTGCCTCCTTAGCTCACAGTGTGTGCCACTTGTCGCCAAGATACAATTTTCTTCCTTTTTGCTCTTTAGAATGCGCAAACATACCTTCATTCAATCGCCCCCTCGTTGTCTCATGTAAAGACATCAGTCCTGCTATGCTCCTTATGTCACCATCTTGCGCGCGGAAATGCGTATGCACTCACACGGTGGATCTAAGAAACTAGTCTGGCGAATATACACTCATTTGCAAACTAATTTGGTTCTTTCGAGAGACTCACCTGGAACCCAGCTGAATCTCTCGTTTATGATGTTCTCAGGCAACTGAATGTGCTGCACCAGGCCGCCTCATGTTTCAGTCGCTACGATATTTGAAATATTGCGATACATGTATATCTTTGTAATGTACTACTCATAAGGTTGCTGAAAATCCATCGACAGCCCACGACCGGTTTCGCCCTTCCAGTTTGGGCTCATCAGGTAGGCGCAGTCCCGGTTTCTGTCAACCTTATGTTCTACTTGAAACCAAATTTCACGAAATTAGCGAATATACACTCATTTGGTTCTTTCGAGAGACTCACCTGGAACCCAGCTGAAAAAAAAACAGTCTGGCATTTGTAGCCCTTTGTATTTCCCCAAAGTCCAAGAGGTCCTGTTTCCAATGGTTCCAAATAAGGCTTCCCCATACAATTTTTTTGGAGATTCCTACCTATCACGGTTATGCTACTCACTACTCACTGCTACTCAGCGTCCTCACTGTAAAATAACTCCCCTCTGTAAGCTAAGTGGTCTGTCCACCTTCACTATATTTTTTCAAAGCCCAGTATCAGCGCCGGACAAGGCAACGAGTAATATAAACGGTATGTTTTGGTACTTTTCTTTTCACTTTTCTTTCACTACGGCTAAAACGTCTGATGTTGGTCACCTAGGATAACCAAAGACATTGGAGTCAAAATTTCTGCCTTACAGCCGTTTTTCTGCTTGTTTTTCGACCTACTTGTTTGACTGCTAAAAAATCCGGAGGCTTTTATTGATTGGTGCAGCCATTTTCCTTTCGAGCCCAACATACAGAGGAAAAAGTCTGTTCATTATTGTCCAGAGAGGCTCGAACACTGAGGTACTCTGTTTCTCCTTCCGGCTTCAATAAACCCAATCAAGCGTCATCAGTTGCCTTTTTGTGGGGTCTACTCTGTTCGTAACGGTGATAGAATTTCACGGATATACTGAAGAATGACCCTGTTAGAATTAATTTCAAAAGTTTATGGGGAGCGTTTTTCGGTCAGAGAATCCCTAAACTGTGACAGTCCACGACGCGGCACGGATCGCCGATGGATCAATCAAAGTCCTAATGAAATGGTTTAGAAACATTTAGCCATGCTAAAGACACTGTAAAAACTATATAAACGCAGACAGGAAGATAGGGACGACCCATCCAACAGCACACTGATGATGCCCTCTCGATCGCAAATTAAGCACCAGGCTTAGCGAACAAATCTGCGACGGTCCTATCAGTTACCAATAAATACATCCGAGCTAACGGACGCATTAGTCCACGGAGTCAGTTCGTTGTGACCGACTCTTATTATTTACCCATTACGAAATCGGAGCTACACCAGGTGAGTCGAACAAAACAGCCGGACGCTCGGAGCATTAATCCTCTTGCAATACGGGACAAAGGTGGCGAGATGGACCAAGTGGTTAGAGCACGAATTTACTGACCGGAAGATCCGTGGTTCGAACCCGACCTCTGCCTCTCGACTTCCCCCCTGTCTAGGCTTGGGCAACCTGACAGTATCCCAACCCTCGTGCCTCTTTCGTGTGGCATGGCAGCTAGGCACCGAAAGGGCGCTACAGCATTTGGAACTGCATCAACTGCCGATAGACCCCACGATGTTCGCCACGTCACAGCCCATCCTTGTGACAACGCTTTGGAAGGGCTTTTGAGGTTCAGTATACCTCCAAGGGTATTTAGACGCCGATGATGATCTCACCAGTGGAGGATACCATTTTAACATAAGTCTGGTAGATCAGTCGAACAGACGTTAGCTTTCCCGCTTTATTCGTGCTACAGAGGAATTCCTGAACTAGAATTCAACCGAATGTGGCTAATGTAGGACGCATTTGTACGTCCATCCCTCGCGTTACGTGTTTGATCGTTTTTAAACAGACAGCCAAGTGGAGGAATCCTTTTCAATATCTCTTTATCTGACTCGCATGTATAGGTGGGTTAAAAAGCAACCGTCGACACATAATCAGTCAGTTGTGACAAAAATCCTTGAAGAAGAAATCAAGAGCAAGGAAATAGAACGATACATGATCGATTAGGACATGGGGTTTAATTGTTCCGAACGGATCACTGAGAATGCTCAATTGCATCGGTTCTGTCTGTCTGCTGGTGCATGATGTCAGTAGAGTTGTGGTTTGGCCAACAACGTCTGGACAAAATGATTTTGCAATCAAATTTCTTGATGCGGGTGAATTAGCTATATTCAACATCTGTGTTCTCACCGGTGTCGGCAGTTTTAGACTGACTTAGTAGATGGTCGTAAAGTCAGTGGTCATATCCACCACGTGGTCGACTAGCTGAACCCAAACCGCACTGTTTATAGGTTTTAACGAAGCCTTTTGGCCGAACGACGAGGGTGTCATCTAAACATATTGCATTGTAGCTGACAAAAGGGTTAACTAATGCAACGCATAAACAGTTACGAAACCGCGTGGATATTACCACTAATTGTTAAAATCATCTAATATAAGTAAGTTTACAAATACCGGCACCCGTGGGAACACAGATGTCCAATGTGGCTGATTCTATCGTCATCCGGATCCATAAGCTGGAACTTTGATTCCAGAGTTATTTTGACATGTCGTGTTTGTCCTGGTTGAACCGCAACGGCTCGGACACCATGCGCAAATAGACAGAGCATTCTCAGTGATCCCTACGGAATACTTGACCTTAATGTCCCAATCGATCCATTTATGGCATAGTCTTTTAACTCGGTCATCTTCCCTAAGTGCACTTTTGTTTTGAACTGTCTGTTTGTTTGTAGACGGTTGCTTTTTAACCCATGCGGACGCGCGAGCCCGGTGATGAGATGTTGAAACAAATTTTCTCGGTTGAACGTCTCTCTTTAATCGGTCTCTGAGAGTACTTCGGTTTACTTGGTCTTTCGGAGTAGGCCGTCCTTTTTCTACTGTTTTTACTGATTTCATCAAAGAAATCATCTGCGAAACATGTCATTCAGCCCACGAACTGGTCACAGTGGCACTCATTCAAACTTTGTAGCATGATGTACGTGACGTGATTTCCTCCCTTCGGTGATTGCCTATAGAACATTCAGAAGGATCAGTGTTTTCTCCCCCTCGAACTGTTTATCCCTTAATATGTGGTTCTTTAAGGACTTTCCCAATGGATTGCCAGGTGCTTGGTGGTAGACTCCTGCTACACCGTTTCGACATTTCAGATGAGACCCATTCGAACGGGAACAGTTTGTACTCACTTTTATTCACAAAATACCGCTGTTTATTTTGGTCGTTTTGTTCTATCACGTCAACTGATGCACCTGATATACTTGACTTTTCAGTGTGGATTCAATGCAGAACATTCATGGTGAGTTTGCTTTCATGCCACACTGTTTTTTCTTGTTGATTGCATTCAAAGTGGTACCCGTCAATGCGGTTTACGGTCACTTAGGTGACGAAATTCGCTACTTCATCAGTATGGGTTGCATTCAAGATCCAGCCTGCGTGTATCGCCACTGGACCAGTGCGCTTTAGAACCAACTTTCAGCCAAAATTCGATCGACTTGGATGGGGAGCGGGATACGAACGGGTGATACGGTCTTCTCCTGTACTATTTTTGATGCGGCGAACAGATCTCCCCAATGTGCTGGTATAAAGTAAACTTATCGTTTCAAGCGTCAGATGCCTTACAAGATACTAGGGATCAATCGTGATGTTCATTTATCTACGACCAAAAACAGACGCCCTTGTATTTCTCCAACGAGCAACAATAAATCACTCCTGGAAGAAAGGACAACAATCATTTATCCCAAGACTTCTGTACGGATACTTATCCGTCCCCAACAGTTTAGGCCGATTATGTCAACGCTAGCATGGCAGTTTTGAAGAGTCTGAGTTTGGTACGCAAACCAACTCACAAACAAGCTCTAAGTTGCTCAAAACCTCAGTAGACTCACTGGAACGATTCGGACTCAAATCGACGATACATAATAGGTACTGAACGCACTCTCATGTTGTCAAGGACAAAATTCAGTTTTCATTAATAATGCTTTGATTCCTCCACTCAGACGTAACAAGACACCATTCAGGAGATTTGTGGACGCAGTCATTCTGCGAATTGCCTGCAGAGCAACACATTCTAGGAACCAGTTTAGGGTAAGTCCGTGTAACCAGCTTTTCAGGACTCGCGGGACATATACATTACCCACAGTCTTTCCCTCACAGGATACTGCCCATTTTCAAAAAAGGGGCTCCTAGTAGGATCAGCCTGACCCCGGTTGTAACGAGACTATTGGCGTCACTGGTGCTTCATTGTCTTATGATTGCTCGCGAAACACGGACTCGAGGGCAGCAAGGGGCTTTCCGGCCTGGTAGGGGTTGTGTTGACTAAATCATCACACTCCGTCAGGTGCTAGAACAACGCCATACGTATGAGCGACTAACAATTCTAGTATTCCTGGATTTCCGAGGTGAATTCGACTCCGTTGATCGGTCTGTTCTTCTTGCCACGCTTGCCCACTAAGGAACGCCCCGTAAGTTTGTAAACATAATACGTTCTTTGTATTCTCAGACTTCCGGACGTGTGAGAGTGTACGCGTTCTCATGTTCGAAGAGGCGGAGAAGGCGCAAGTATTCTTGGACGAACTGACCAAAGTCATCCCGTCCTCTGGTATGCACTTTGCACCCACAAAGTGTAAGGTCATGCTCGTGGACGTGCAGTCACCGAACACGCCACTTACAATCCAGGGAGAGGCGCTGGAATTTGTGGAGCGCTTTACTTATCTTGGAAGTTGTATTAGTTCTGACTGTAGTGTGACAGGTGAGGTGAATGCACGAATCTGCAAGGCTCGGGCCGCGTTTGCTAACTTGAGACACCTATGGCGTCTGAATGGTTTATCCCTGAATCTGAAGGGACGTGTCTACCAAGCTTCAGTATGGGCTGTTTTGTTGTATGGCTGTGAGACTTGGCCTATTCGAGCAGCGGATCTGAGACGTCTTCAGGTGTTCGACAATCGTTGTCTCAGAACCATAGCTCGTGTGGGTTGGTGTCGGCGAATCCGTAACGAGGCAGTTAGAAAGCGTGTTTTCGGTTGTGTAACGGGTACTTCCATTGAAGAATGTGTCCAGCACCAGAAGCTGCGTTGGTTGGGACATGTGTTACGTATGCCGAACCATCGTTTGCCGAAGAGAGTGCTGTTTTCCATGCCCAATTCAGAGTGGCGTAAACAGAGAGGTGACCAACCCTTGACTTGGCAGAGGATAATGAAGGAGATCACGAAACGCCTGGGTGCTACCAGTGCTACTCGTCTTCCAGGATGAAGACCGCGTGATTCTCACTGTGCCTGGTCGGAGACACTACAAGATATGGCTGCCAACCGATGTCAGTGGCGTTCTTGTTGTCAGTTTCTATCCAGATTGCCTGAGTGAATGTCTGGAGACGTTGGCAACGTCCATTCTTATTCTTTTCTTCACAATAAGGCTTTCAAGTAAATCATGTTTGTACGGCAGCATCAGTGTTGAACAGCGACGTTATGCTGCCGATGATGGTGATGATGGTAATCTGTTGATATCAATAGGAAGCAGAGATTTTACTCCCAGTTGACATTAGTGCAGTTTTCTTTCCTTATTCCACTGTCGACCTTATCGAGGCAAAACGATGTCAGCTACAAACCCCATGGGTTTTGGGTTCCTAGTATCGACTTCTGGTCGCTTCAGCAGATGGTGATTGGCGACTGTTGTTGGTGACAGTGTTGAAATTTGAACAGGGGTTTTACACTCGCTACGCTCCAACAAATGGGACCGACTGCCCCCAGATGAGATTAGCAGAGTAGCAGGCTTCTTTGAACGTGTTTCGAAACCCCTTGACGTAATCACCACCGCAAGTACATTGGAAAAAGTGTACATTGGAGGAGGTAACCAGTAAGCCTGTCTTTTATAAGTTGTTTTCTTTCCGCATTCGTCAAATGGTACTAAAGTCACCAGTCTGAATCCTCTTTTGAGAGTTTTTTCCTCTTTCAACAAACTCGCCCATCATTCCGATTTCCTAGGAATGCTGTTCGATTAAGAACATTACCCGGCTTCTTTTCTTGATTCATAAGCTTTCCAAAGTTTTGTAAAGACGCTAGGGCATTGTCTGGATCTGCTCAGCTATGGGACAGAACCCACGGAACTCAAGTTGCTATTTTGTTCAGATCATCTTACGTTATGAAATGTTGATATCATGAACTATTCGTCTTTGTTTCTCATCACCCGGACACGCGAGAAAGGGCAAGGTGTTTGTTCTTCGTTATCTTCCAATTTCCAAACAATCTCTTTTCTTTGCTGCACTTCGTAGCCGACCAAGGATTTCCGGTTCGGTAAGGTGGGAAATAACCGATGTTTACTGTCACACATTTTGTTCCGATCGTTCGTTTAGGACAACTCAGCTGCGTTGTCTGCTAGTGCGAGCGTCATTCACTTCCAATCGTCTCCCACTTCACTTTCTTCGTCTTTAGGGGTGACGCTCCAATCCTGACCTATTTGATCGAGTTCATCTGCGCCGAAGAGAATGCTGGGGTCGAGCAGAACACACCAGGTCTCCAGTGAGTAGTTGGACGATATCTGTTCGTTCCTTTCTTGAGCCTCTGTACCAATGCACTGTGGTTACTAACTGAAACCGAGAGCCTCATCCGCTGTGGAGTTTGTGAACATTTTTCAAGGTGCTTGCGGGTTGAGCTGGCTGCTGGGCGAAAGCAACCATTAACTAGGTGGAAACTTCAACTGAATACTACTAAGATAAACTACATTTGACATATTATGAGTTCATCCAAGTAAATCCCACGGTTTTTCGACTTACTCGCTTCATTCCGACGTAATTTATCACTCAAATGTGCTGTAAGGCAGGTTTGTCCGATTTCGTCACTGTCCGAATCACTGAATCAGTCGCATTACCGAGCTTAGGGTTTATGTTATCCGACGTAGACTCATTTTGGCGGTACGTTCATCGTTCCGCGGTTGTTGGGCATCAAAGCTAATTCGTTTGACAAGTGTAACTGTTATTTTTTCCAATTCCAGCGGAAATTCTATGGATGTTGTGCAGATATTGTCCAAGGTCATCAGTAGTGTGCATGTCAGTTGTGCAGTTTTCTCTCTCTGTTTCTGGAAATCCGAGCCATTGTTAGAGACTACTTTCGACATGTCCCATGAACCTCCATTTTAGGACTGTGGGGAGGCTGACTCAGCTGGTACCACAGACCATGGTTTATGTATCTATTTTATCCAAGAATCCCATCAGTTGGGACCCAAAGTCAGGCCTTCGTGAGGTTGCAGGGTCAGTCGATCTTTCTTGAGAAGTTTTTATTCAACATCTGGGTGACCCCATGTGTAACAATTTGTATTCTTTCCGACCTCATCCAAAATTACTCACAGTTATGTCATATGGTCACCTATTCGCTTAGTTTTTGTCTCTTCGGTCAGTCCCTGTCATCACTTTTCCCTGTCGCTGCTTTGTTCTCCTTGGATCCGATACACAGATTCTGACCCTTTCAACTTTCTACTGTCTGGGACAGACAGTTTCAGTCCCCTGCAAGCGAGGAGAGGAGTGATATATCTCTGCAACTGGAATGCATTTCAGTTTTATCGATTCTGTCCCAAAAATTGCTGATCTCATCAGGTATTTTCTTCAGGGAGAGTACGTGAATCGGGCGATCTGGTGATTTAAGCTCACTCTTGTTACTGTCTACTTTACGAAAGTCGTGGCATTTGGTTTCCCTCCGCTTTTTTTGGTTATCGTTTCTTTTTCCACATTGTTTGTCGGTTACATTTTATCATTCGAGTGTAATTTGGTACGTTATTCCGAGTAATTTCATGTTGTTTTGTCGTTGCCCATCCTCCTCCTTTAGTTATACAGCCTCTGGCTCTTGCGATGGGCCTGTTTCTAAACAAATTTGGCCGACAAGGCTTCGTTGGGATATCCCACCCGAAGTGAGTGGATTGCCCGTCCAGATGCTTTAAGTTCATCTCCACCTACTAACTAGTTCGGGGGTTGTTCGTGCAAAGGTCTTGGCAAGTCGGTGGAACCGCTGCTTATCTATGAACACTACACACCGTATTCTCCAGGTTTGAACACCACAGAGGACGTCATAACCTAATACTTTTAGTGAACGCAACTATGTGTCTCCTTTAAGCTTGGAGGAACATTGCAATCGATCACATAAGGGCTGATTTCTCCTCAATGTAGGACCTGACGATCTGTAGTTCCTTACAGGAATTTGACGGAATCGACCAACAGTGGTAGTTGTCATCCTTATCATCGATAACACAACGTCGCTGTTCAACACCGATGCTGCCGTACAACCATGATTTATTTGAAAACCTCGTTATGAGGAAAAGCATAAAGGTGGATTGGAAAGGGACCTTACCACAATCATTCAGAGGTGTCTCCATCTCCAGACACTCATTCAGACAATCTGGATGGAAACTGACAAGACCGCCTTTGGCATATCTTTCAGCGGCCCCAACCAGGTGCAGTGGGGATCACGCGGTCCTCATCCTGGAAAGCGAGTTGCACCGACATCACTCAAACTTTTCGTAATCTCTGTCATACCCCTTTGCCAGGTCAGGGACTGACCGCCTCTCTGCTTCCGCCACTCTGAATTGGGGATAGCAAACGATGGTTTGGAATGCATAATACATGGTCTAACCAGTGCAGCCTATGGTGCTGGACACGGTCTTCGATTGAAGTCCCCGTTGCACAACCGTGACCTTGCTTTCTAATCACCTGGTTACAAATTTGCCGACACCACACAACGGCTATCGAAGCCCTGAAGATATCTCAGTGCCCGAACAGACCAACTCTTATGGCCATACAATCCGCACTGTGGCCACGCTGTGCACACGTCCCTTGAGATTCAGAGCTTCGTTTTATTGTTCCTCTTAAAGCTTATTCACGGAGATTACTACTCATAAAATCGCTGAAAACTCTTCGATAGCCCGCGCTCAATTCCACATTTTTTGTGCCTCATCCATGTCAACCTTCTTGAACCTACACTTATTTGCACACCACTTTGGTCTTGACAAGAGGCTCAAGTGGATCTTAGACGAGTCTCGTGTTTACGATGTTCTTTAACTGAATGTGGCCTGTCGATGTGTTTTCAGCAGTCTCATGAGTAGTCTTCTCCGTCGAGAAAATGTATACTATATCTGGAATATCGTGTCAACTGAAATATGAGGTGACCTGATTCAGCATATTTAGTTTAAGCGAAGCATCGTAAACAAGAGATTCGGCTGGATTCAGTTGAGTCTCCTGTCAAAACTGACTTCATATGCGAATCAGAGTATTTGTCGAAATCTGTCTGACTTGGACAGACACTCAGGCACTGCGCTTACTTGATGAGCCCCAAGAAAGCGAAAGTGGTCACGGGCTGTCCAAGGGTTTTCAACACTTCATTCGTGGTATATTCCATCGAAAAAATTTCGCTCTGGATGCCAAACTTCCTCAGATCAGACAAATCAGTTTTAGGGCAGGCTGAGAACGAAGAATTCTCAGCGACTGCAGAATTAGTTAGCATTAGGTGTCGGCTAAAAGCTGTTCGTTTCATTTATTGTTATTGGCAAACGTGCGTTACACTCTCGGGCTAGGGGTAGTATCCTACTCGAATTTAAACTTGAGGTTCTGGGATCTATCCCTTCGGATTTGTCGTATTTGAGATAAAGTTACCTGTTCTTTGTCGTTTCTACTTTTTGGGTGGTTTTGTACTGCAATAACTACGTTATCGGAACGGTTTTTTTGAGAACTTCTGTTTGGTTGGTTACGTCGAAACCACTTCTGTTAATGATTGATCTTGATTGACCGCCACGTGTTAACTCGGTCGACCTAAGGCTGGTTTCGACACGCTAAGCAGCCCCCTTATTCCGATCACCCTGAACTTCTCATTGATTTTCATCGCCTCGGACATTAAATGTACCGCCATTGCCGAGTCTATCCAGCTTTGAATATTCGTGTGCATTTCTTTAAGGTTTGTTGTGCTCACCAGTTATGGCGTTAAATTCTCTGGCATTCTTTCTCACGCAGTTTCGCAGTCTGTAGTCCTTTCATAGACGGGTCGTGATCTCCAGCTGCATTGGTAGTGGCACAACGTTTTCTCTTCTGGAACTACCTTCGAATGCGGAATGTATTTAGCATGTTTCGAATGGCTTTGACAGTCATGCCAGTACCCTCTCTCCGCTGGGCCCTGATAGCGGAACTAACACCTTTCCCAAGTGTCACTTGGTCCAACTTACCGTCATTTCTTTGAGATCTGTTTTTGATCACAGTTCGAATTACTGTTTTGTCTCGTTTTTCCGTCCACGTCGCTCTGGTTTGACTACATATCGGCTTCAAGATAGACTGACGAGCATTTGAAGAATTACACCCATTGGTCTCTCGTGAACGGTTGCTTTTAAATTCACATCACTCTCATGTGTCAAACAAGACAGTCAGCGAAGTGTGACTGCAGCGGACTCTCTTCGCGTGCAAAACTTTATGTGGGGCTCCAACCCATTGGGATACTCGCGTACATCATCAAACTTGTAAGGTTTTCTCACACCACATCGTGCTATATCCATAACGCCAAAAAAACCACTGGACAGACTTATCTGGTCAACGCCTTCTTTTCGAGGTCCTTGTCTAAAACCGACGGAGATTTCATTTCAGAAGGGCTTAGTAAACAATCGGCAGTTTTTAACTGGACTACGTCTCTCGTTTGACGCGAAAGCTTCATCACGCCAAGTGAGCAGGTCACCAAGTTAGTTGACCAGATTTTAAGGCAGACGGAGAACCAATCAGATTCGCAGGCCAGATTTCGTTCTGCAATCCAATCTATTCTGTCAGCATCAGTTTGCTTCATTTACAGGATGGATTCGCCTAGAAGAAAACCCCAAAACCTCCTCACCAAATTAACACTCTACAGAATAAGACTAGAATTCAACCAATGAGTGAAACGTTCGTCCGAGATGACGTTGGTTGATTGCGCAAAGTGGATCCCGGCGTTTTTGAAGAGTGGGTGGCGCCCTATACCTTCAAGGTGCAATCTGAACCCTGTGATAAGCGGCCTATCGTGTCCGGACGGTGAATCGTTCACACTACTAGTTGCGAGGTCGCAGATTCGAGACTCGGGGGTTTCCTGAGCTGCGCACGGCTGATGATTCACAAGAACGACAAGACAGCGATGAGACAGTGCTTCTCAGCTTTTTGATCTAGACTAACTTGCCTACAGATCTTACGAGATCTTCATTAAAATTTTTCAATCTTCTCATGTTATCAACAATGAAGATCCCATTGCGAGAACTTGCTGTTGAAACGAAACGATCGAAATTCGAACATACTTTAAGCTACAAACTGTCGTGTTTGCTGAAAGCTGTGTCCGTTCTCGAAGCGTTGTATCTGCCATAACAGCCTCTTAATGACTTCCAAAGAATTTGCCATGGAGCGGTTTGTGTACGTCAAATCTCAAGAAGGTACTGTATGATCGCTTTGTGTGAGTTCCTGATGTAGGTTGCTGATTTTCTGGTTAGCGATCTGGTTAGCTAGATGGTCGTTGGTGCACTATGCACAACTACGCACTGATGATGTCACCTCGATTAGTGATGAAACGTTTGCCCAGCTCAGCGAACAAGCCAACGACCATCTACGCTACCTGAGCTACAGACATTCTCCTCTATAGAAAATCTGGTTAGCTAGCTCATATAGTGGAGAAACTCCATCGTCCACGACTGATCTTGTTAGGACACCTTCACTATGGATTTTTGGCAGCCTGTAACGTCGTTGCTGAGTTCTGACAGCATCTATCTCGCACAAAGTGCGATCTCAAAGGGATCTCGAATACCTACGAACTCCGACCTTTCTCTCGTTTGTTATCGACTTGCTAATACCTCTGTTAATTTGCCCTCAAGTTCCATCGGTTAGGTACTACCTCACCAATGAAAACGGTCGCCTTTACTCACCACGACTGTGTCGGTACCCTCGTCCGTCTTCACACTGGCGATATTGTCCAGTTATTTCAGTGTCCTCAATCCCCGTAACTAGGACCGATTGCTACGTGCTCAGTCGCACTCCCAGCTACTCTGCACCCACCGAAGGGACCTTCTGAATCGCCGATTAAACACAGAATTATTTCCTCCGTTCCATTTCGCCCATCGCGAAATTTTCCAGCTATTTTCCAACAGACACGGCTATTCTTCACTTGGTATCTAACTGAAAAACTAACTGCGCCGCAGTGCTTGGTAGTTGGTTTTATTTTTTCTGTGACCTTACCAGAACGCTGACCCTTGGACTACGACTGCTTGGACTTATCTATCTGTCTATCCTTGCATTGCTGGCTTTGGGTAAGTTTGAGATCTCCATCGCCTTGATGTTGAGCATTTGGTAGGTCAGGAGTTTCGGTCTTAGATAGGTGGCTTTGTGAACGCACACGGTGACAGGCTTTAGTCAAACACCAGGCACTCAATCATTCCTCCGTTCGGATAACAAATTGGCTTCTCAATTCATCTTCCGTCTCGCCAATCGAGCATATTCTGAAACGCGGAATCCATAGTTGACTTCGGTCAACTGAAACCGTTCAACAAGTCGTTGATCCAGAAAAATATGCAAAACAGTAGGTAGATTTGACAAAGTTAGTGTTGAAGGCGATCTCCTGTGTATGACGTGTATCCAGCGAGGCTTGGCTTTTGAACACAGATGTTACCTCATTTTAACGCTTTGATTTTGTATCGTGTTGACCCCGGTTACGGTGTGTGACTGTTAAACCGAACAGCGCACGAGTTGTACTGACCCATTAGCAGCTTACTGATGCAGATTTACGCTCACTTTGCGGTCCCGTTTGTGACCCAATACTGCCCAACTAAAGAAATGTATCACATTATGTAGGTGTCTACGTTAAGTGCACGATGACAAAAAATACCCCTATAAGATGGTATGTTCCGGAAAAAACACAGTAGTTCGCCTGCGGAACAGGCCAAATTAGGATTCGGTGTCGAGTACTGCCATCTGGACGTAGTTGGCATGACAGAATGGTATTTACAAACAGCGCGGAATGATTCGACTTTTTCCTGTGAAAAAGGCGGATGACGCTAGTGAATGATAAACAAACGGCTGTGGCATCGATCAAAACGTTTAATAACTTGTAGTTTACAGGTTCGGTGGACTAAACTATTCTCAAATGTTGGTTCGTGTCATTCGATTCGTTTTTTCGCGGTGTATGAGACTTTCTTTGGACGTCTGTGCTCCAGAGGGCGAATCCAATCAACTGAAAAACAGAATTACATTCTTCACATTCGTTTTTTCGCGGTGTATGAGACTTTCTTTGGACGTCTGTGCTCCAGAGGGCGAATCCAATCAACTGAAAAACAGAACTGCATTACATTCTTGCAATCGAATACGCTGATTTTATTGGACAGTACCCCCCTTGGGTACGCGATCAACAGTCACCGTTCCAGAATTTGGAGTACTTGACGTTTTGGTGTGAACTTAAGAAGGCAAAGCTCCGACCTTTCTACAAGGTGCCGAAGGCAGACCAATATTTTCAAAGAAACCGTATTTTTCAGCAATTCCTGGAATATTCTCACTTGAAGGCGTTGGTTGGATTGAAGGACGATAGATTCGATGTGCGAGGAATTAGCTTCCGGTGCTTGGGGGGTTTCTCTAGAACTAGTGATTCTATCGTATTAGGGTGGTGGTTGTATCGTGGATGGAATAACAGCCAAGCACTGCAATCATCATGAACATCGTATTCGAAAGTGCGTCCTTGCTGGAAAGAAAAGTATGTAGGTGAACGGGGCACCTCCACAAGCATGGAGCTGTTAGTATTGCTCTTATTGTAACAGCTGAATTGCCCAGCTGACCCCCGTCAAAGCGAATGTATCAGCAAACCCCTTCACATTCTGGATTGCTCGAGACACCGGTGCAGACCCGAGTCCATAGAACAGCTAGACGAATAAAGGAAGGGTCCTCAACGTACCATCCTGGTAGAAGGATAAGCCAGGATTGCCCAGCCGTGTTCGAACATCTAAACAGTTGAGTTCTATAGACTATATGAATGGTGAACTGATGATTGGCGTTTGTTGCGTATTCTAAATGGTCGTTTAACTCTGTATTGGTCCTTAGCTCCCTTTTCCACTCACTATGGTATATCAAATGGCACGGTAGCTTCAGACAGCCCTTTGTAGGGACCAAAAAAGATTATCACAACTGTATAATAGGGTCATCACAGAATGCTCCACTTGTTCGTGCTGGAGGGGGCGAGAAGTTCCGAGCTATGGATGCTCAATCCGGATTGGCTGACATTCTGACCAATTAGGGCATGCCTTCGTTAGGTCCGTGCACGTGACATCCGTCCAACTGACGTGAAGTTCGAGTAGCTGGCCTCCGGGCAGCATCTGCCCCAGATTAAGGCCACATAACCAGATGAGAGTAGATTATCACGTCAATAATCATCGCAAACCAATTGAACTGATTTCAGTGTCATACTGATGACACTGCTTACAAGATTAGTGTTAGGCGATTTGCTGACGAACAATCTTATTTCACCAAATCGAAGCCGGTCCTCTTTAACCCGAAACCGGTTGTTCGAGCTGCGAAACAGGCAGCAATTGGTGGATCAGTCAGTCCAGGTTCAAGCGCGAGAATCCCAGGCTGAGCGGCTGTCGTCGTGTTGTAATAAATATTTTCTCCCGCTGGAAGAAGCGACCAACCAAATGAAAATGCCATAGTTGTTTGGTTGACAGGCTTGTAGTCTTGTGATAAATGAATTTGTAGCTATAGGTAGTTGCAAAATGTTGGCTGGGACGGGCACAAGGATAGAGTATGAAATTTCAAACGTTCAGCCAGCCTTACTGTGTGGTAGTAGAAGATCAGACTAGGAGCGAATGGAAGACCTCCTGAACACAGCTTGCATTCGTGGTACCATTAAGTGCGTTTGCTTGGCGAAATATATTCATTTGCAAATTATTTTGGTGTTAAAGGAGGCACAAATACGATGTTCTTCCACCAAATATTTTGCCCAAAAGTCGTTTTATGTTTCAGTTGGTACCATATTTGAATATCGCTGTATATATCTTCTTGATTAAGAAGTTTCTGACAACTCTTCAGTTGCCCATGACCCTTCTTGGAGGTCAACAGATAGGCGAACTCCCCGCCGCCCGATGTTTTTAATTGAATCCAAATTGCGCGCTACTCAAGATTTACACTCACTCGCAAATTAAGTTCGTGTTAACCGGTGACCCACCCGAATCCCAGTCTTTAACTTAATATGTTGTGAGATTCCACGCATTGCAGTATGTTTTCTTGACGGAATACCCTACGCACGCCTGCGATGACCGTCAGTGTATTCTATTTAAGCCCATCGAAGAACCCCATTTTTATTAATTACCCGTAAATGGGGTCGAATATGGGTTGGTACACGCTGTGACAAACTTTAGAACGCGATCCACTGTTTCACCTACAGCCTTTTACTCGAATACCGTACGAAGTGAAACATGAGGAGGCCTTCGCGCAGCGCACTCACATTCACAGAGCTTCCAAGTAGTACAAACTTAATTGTCTTTAAATTTGGTGATCAAACAAAACATTACTCGGGGAGTATGCTACCTGACGAGCCCCAAGAACAGTGGGATCGGGTGGTGGGCTGTCGAACGGTTCTCAGTAGACCTATAAGTAGTATGTTCCATCAGGGAAAAGTCTGTTTGTTTTTTCAGTACTCCAGTGCATGACCCTCTCACTTCTCGCTTGGGATCAGTCCAAACGCCTTCGGGGTGGCTGTGGATTAGCCTCGCTATTAGTGTTCTTCCTATGAAACCACCTAAGTGTTTCACACTCGGCTTTCATCATTAACATGAGAAGCTTTCGTTTTGTCATGTCTAACAGATCTGATCTCTAAACACCGCTGCCTCTCGTTCTGCTCAAATATTTCAGTGTGTACAAGCCATCGAAGCCTCATACAATATTGCGCGCAGTCTGGCTGATTCAATAGATCTGTACGTGATGCGATTTCGCGATTTCGGAAGTGGCTTCATGAAGAAGGCTGGTTACTCTCCAGACGCATTCATGCAAATCTCCCTACAACTCGCGTATTTCATGGTAAGGATAATTAATATGTTGGGCGGCGCCGATTCACTTGTTTGTTGACATTCATTTGTCCCTCGTCTTTTTACAAAACAAGTGGCATTCAGAAGCACTCAACTTGCTTCTTACTTCCAGTTTTTGCTAAAGCCAAATAAACCTACGGTGGCTTTTGTTTCATAACAATGCAAACTCGTACACCAAATGGGGGAATCCACCGCGGTTCCTAACTAATCTGACTACCAGTGAAAGGAAGAAGGCCTTCTCTGCGGAGTTATTTGTCAGAAAATGCCAACTGAACAGTTACAGTCTATTGAACAGGGGAGCAAAACTCTCATATGCATCTTGTTTACAAAAACGCGTCTTACTGAACTTTCCTGGATATTCACTGACTGTTGCTCAAATCCAAGCAAATGCCACAATGCTACGCCAGAAATTCCGCAAGAGATCTCACTTTTCAAGAGACGCCAGGCGGATTTACAAGAAAACATACTACCCGCATGCCTTCTCCATCAGTAGTATCACCGTTATACCAGTATTCTAGCAAAAAGGATTTGTAATACAAGATCATTGACATCATTCCTCTACTTGAACAAACTGCTGAGAGATCTTCTCTGGTTCAAGAAGACATAGTTCTTTGTATGGACCGTACCTGTCCTAGCATTTAGACCTTTGGTACATTGTTTCATCATATCTTTGTTATTCGAACTAGCACCTATGCTTCCGTACCCTTTCGATTCGCCTCCCCTATTTCATGAAAATCATGTTTACATCGAATTCAGAGCAGTTCTTTGGAGAGTATAATCAACTGTAAAACAACCCTTCTGTCGCCGCGCAGTCTGAGTGAGTGCTGAGCTGCATTCAGCCGAAGTGTTAACTGAGATGGTCCTCTTGATTAGGTAGTTCCATCGCTTCCCCGAGGCATCTTCCATGGGTGGGGTGCATCCTCATAGCTAAAAACATTCGAAACCGAATAGTCTGTTTTGCTGTTCTGCTGCTGTGGGCTCTTAATCGATTCCTGTCAAGATTGGCTCGAACTTATCGACCACAATCGGTGCAGCGTACAACGATGAATAGTGCGAGAAAGTGGGTGCATAAAAAAACAAAGGACATGAAATATGGCGGACTCAGGACGAGTTATAGAGGACTGGACATAACAGTGTCATCAAATGCATAATGTCTCTTGGACGATTCAATGACTCACAATCGCTTATTTGCCTTCTTCCCAGTTCATGCCCTGTATTGGGTACAACCAAAGCAGGTGTGCAGGCGGTTAAGTCTATGAACCACTCTCCGTCTTACAATTGCTGACCTCATGTTACCATGGTACACGTGGAATACTTCGAAGTCACTGGCGATCAAAGACCATCTGCCTTCCTGCATCGTCTCGATGTAGAGTTGACCTCCAGTTATACCCTGAGTTGAAGAACAGTAAAGTGGCTTCCAGTGAATCTAGCAACAATCATGTCCGCGGCGATGCGTCTCCGTTGATAAGAGTTTTTGGAAGCCAGATTCAATGCATCAGCCGCGTTTGATAGTTAACTCAAGCAGTCTCGCAGGGGCAGTTTGCACTTTGAAAATGTAAAGCCTATGCCGAATCGCGTGCAGTTCCTACACAGGTGAAATTTGAACTGTGGCTTTTGTCGTTCTGTATGTGTTGGCGGTCGTCAGGTTTATCTCTTCGAAGCAGTTTGCTGTCACATTGTGGATTCGTTCAGCCAGCAGGACCGGGAAACTGGGAGAGACGACCCTGAAGAATACGGCTTTTGTGATATCCGCTGAAAACCCTCACGCGTGGACAAACGCTGGACTGTGGGAGATGTGGCGCGGATGTTCGGAGCACCTGAAAATGGAAAGTTCGACATAGAGTTACCTAAACGACTGAATTGAATGCTGCTCTTGGATCTCTAGGCCTTCTACGTGTGTCGCTCTGATCAAGAATTAGCTTTAACATGAGTGTGTGAGTGTATGAACCTGTAGAACGGACAAAATCATGCCTGATTTTTGCGACTCTGCTTGTTGTGAGCGTCGGTGAAGCTGCGAAAAATACTAGTATTAATTGAAACTACTTAGCGAGAGTGACTGATGGCCCGCCGCTATTTGTTTGGTTCCTCTTCCTTGACTTGTCGACACGATCGCATCTTAAGATCCAGGCTTGCGCGCTCCACCACATTAGGGTGTCAGCTCTTGTTGTGAATAAGAACACCGCTGATTCCCAATTGCCCGGCCCTTTTCATTTCTCTAAACGTCTAAAGTTGGTGATTTTAACGTTCACACTCTTCCCTATTTTCACGAAAGATCGCTTCTTCAAAGACACTGTCGAGTGAAAGAGGTGCATTTCTTGCTCAGTTTCCTCATAAAAACAGTGGTTTATAATTTTGACGTTGTATGTGTACTTACCGACGCAAATAGATAAACTCAACGCTGCTGAAAAACAAGAAGCGGTGTCCGGAAAGAGCTTGGTTCCTCCGGTGCAGCCTTGCTCAGCATGGCGACTCATCTTGTATCAAGTCTTCCCATTACTGCGTGAACAACTGCACTCCAGGCCTCTCCATCGTGCCAGGTCCTCCCATGATGTAAAGTGAAAGGGTACATGCTTACCTGAAAGCTGCTTGAATAGCGGAACTTCTGGCTTTCCTAACTTTGAATTCCTGTCTTCAGTTAGCTGTAAACAAGCCGTTTTGCGGTGCGAGTTTCGATCGTACCTTTTCAAACGACATACTGTATTCAACTCCAACGGTGTTTGCTCTCCGATGGACCCCAGTCTTTCATCAACTTTGTCGGAAAAACTCTTCCCGCACACTTCAAGTGATATTGATCAAGAACGCCTACTTCTCGTCTGCATATAACGCCCGCCCCCAAATGCAGGCCGATACACGAGGGTTGTTTAAAAATTGTGTGATCTATTCCTGTCTAAGACAGAATATACAGCTACACATCCTTCAAACCCGGGTTCCACGGCACGTGGTCGCGTGTTGGCTAGCTCCTGGAGTGGTGGCTTCTCGAATGGAAGTTCCACTCACCTTCCTCAGGGTTACTTATATACTGATAGTAGTGTGGGAAGATGTGATATTTTTCAACCGATGTTTGGTTCATTTCATATTCAACCAATGACAGGTGCCCCTGAACCATATCTCTTAGCCAACCATTGTAGTTCTGCTTCAAAATGCGACGTTATCGTCTGCAAACATCAGCCGACAGACGTCGGAGTCGCTCAGAAATTGGTTTTTGTTTTCAACACGTGTTCCTTCCAGTTTCACGCATGATATCTTGGACAATTTTAACCCCGCATAGGAGGATTATTCGACTAGTTAACCAGTTTTTACGTTATTACTCTGTTTTGAGATTCATTAAGGTATGTAAGTGACTCTGTCCGTGTGTTTTTCCCCTTGAACACATTTGTAGGTCATGTGTTGTGCTTTTGGTACATTTTGGTTGCTAGTTTGCGGAGATGACCTTTCGTGTTTCTATCCTTCGCATCAACAGCCCCGATCTACATTTTTCTTTGAGGGAAAATGTGACTGCTTAGGTAGCGTCGATGGAACAAACACTGACGCGCCACTCTGCTCCACTCCACACCCTAAGAACTCACTGATGCTATCTGATCGACTGATCAAATTCCCCTCCCGGGCGAAATTCTGTACCGTTGGGTCCGTTGTAAACGCACACTCCATAATCAATGTTGTGCCCGTAATTTACCAACCCAGTCGTGGTGAAAAGACGTATACCTAAAAAGCAACGGTCGGAACTAAGTCTCTTAGCTAAAAATAGCATCGAACAGATGACAGCTGTGTAGGGTAGGTTCGTTGACTGTGAGCATGTCACTCACTCACCGTATAATAATCACCCACTCGGATGCGCAGCGTTCCACACATACAACTGCACTCACGTGACCAAGTTGTCTTCGGTTTATTTAGCAGCAATCAGCCATCAAACGTTACATGTGATACTATCTTATAAGAATACGCACGTGAGTAGCGACCGTCCGTCTGCTGACCTACACAGGTCATGTGCTGTTACCTATGATAGGAATTTGAAGGTGTGGTCTAAAACTATGTGAATCACAGCCGACCTACGCAGTTGGCTGGTATTTTAGAATCATAAGTTTTGTGTGGAGAGGCTCTCATCTGATTTAGCTAATACGATTAGGCCTTTGTGTGAGCAATTCGATTTTGTCCTAGCGGCCAGTCGCCGTAGATCAGAGCATGCCGACAATAAGCTGGCGGACCTGGTGACAATAATCAGTAAGTAACTTGATAAATGACCTTGAGTAGTGTCTGTTAAACGCCACAATAACTCACTCGTCAATTGACCCTGTGAATGTCTGACCCCTTTTTGTAGTTGGGCAACCGGGAAGTGTCATCCTCCACTGAGGTTCTTCTCTAGTTCCTTTCCGTCGTATCTCAAACGTTACTGGACCGTTTGATTTTCAGTGGTCTGACATGCTTGACTCATCCAACACGCCCCTTACCAACTACAGACTAAATAGCACTTTGATAAATCCACGAGATCATTTCCACATAAAAGCCGTCAACATCCTATGTCAAGGTGGCAAACACAAGTTGCTTGCACAAACTTTATATCCTCTTGTGTCTCTGAAACACAAGATACAAGAATTAAATATTGTCATGCAATTTAGGGCGCTCAGGACAAACTGAGCTGCTTCGCATGATCCAGAAGCAGTCACTCGTGGAATATATGGCGTTCGGCCCCAGAACGGAAGGTGTTGCTATCTTTTCGAACACCAACTACGCGACCTCCGTCGGCCATGGCTCTGCGGTTCTTGACAGGGTTCACAGTTTATGCGAAAAAGTTGCCCGTCTCGGACAACCAGAATGGTTCAGTGGTCACGTGAAACTTGAAAAAACGTGCCCACAATAGATGAAGTGACCACAGAATCAATAGTCTGACCCATTGAAGTAGACATTTCAGTTTCTGCTTCTTTGTTAATCCGTCGTTTCACGAACCTTAATCGAACCTTAAACGTGCCCACAATAGATGAAGTGACCACAGAATCAATAGTCTGACCCATTGAAGTAGACATTTCAGTTTCTGCTTCTTTGTTAATCCGTCGTTTCACACGAACCTTAATCTGTTAGCGTGATTCTAATCGAATGAAGAAACCCTATACTAAATTCGTTACCTCAGATGCAGAACATGTTGGAGATACATAGAAGATCCGCAATGTTAGTTGTTTTGACCTCAAGGTCACATGCGGCTGGCGGTGAAGGACACCCATCGGCATTTCGTAAAAAATGATTTTTTCTACATGTTCGCATACTTTTGGATGTGAATGTGCTGCCCACACGTCCTTCGTCAAAAAGCATCGCCTGAAACAGATGTCTAATCCACTCCCGTTCAACTTTGTCATTGATGCAGCGATGCCGATCATGTCCCGGATGATCCTTGTACCCTTCGTGTTCGAGTAGTTGTTGATGGCTATCTTTTTCCATCTGGATTATCAAGATTTCTGAGCAGAAAACGAAAACGTTGTTTTTACGTCGTTTTTTGGCATGCGGTGTGTGACCATGAACGGTACATCCAAGAAGGTGCAATGACTGGACGAGATTCCCATAATTTAAGGAGCACCTATAGAATGAATCAGTCAGTACTGTTGACCGGTGTACTGCTCTCATCCGTGGCGCTAAAAATGCCGTATATCATTGTTGTATGACTATGGGGCGCCCTATAGGTTTAGTAAATCTGATGCGTCTCCAGGTCTTCCGCTATTGAAGTTTCAAAGTCGTAACTACTTTAGACAGGTGATAATGAACTCTTACGGAGTTGATTCGTAAACGGATGTTTGGTTATTCAGCGAACAATCCAGCTGACACAGCAGCATCTCCATCCTGCCCACAGATACTGAGATGTTGTCTTCTCGAATGAGGCTGATCGCGCATCTCATGTGGTGGAAGTGCCACTTTCTTTACGGTCACGAAATGTCACCGGGGCGGTTGACGAGCTCAGCCTTCCAGAAGGAGATCCTTGCGGCTGCCAACCGAATGATTTCATTCGCTATCACTTTCTGTCCACATTAAGATGGTGTTTAGAAGTGCACGAACTTCCATATGTTTGCAAAGCTCAATGTCAGCCCCGCAGTATTTTCGAGTCTTATTCTTGTTTATTCTCGTGCCCCTTTCCGAATTCCTTGTGCGATAGTGATGCCTCCTTGATGGTCTCTGCATTGGTGCATACATCCAACTGCACTAGTATTTTCGAGTCTTATTCTTGTTTATTCCCGTGCCCCTTTCCGAATTCCTTGTGTGATAGTGATGCCTCCTTGATGGTCTCTGGATTGGTGCATACATCCAACTGTACATGAGGGCGATTACTATTATTACTGTCCGTTAACATGAATCGATATGACTCAGCGGTAAATACCTGAATTCCACCAACAGCTGATCACTGAATAACCAAGTGACAGTCTCAACCGAACTGAGAGCACATGGGTTCATCAACACACAGAGTTTAAGAAAGTGTAACAACAGCCACTGTGGCATGGAATTAGAGGGACGTCCAGATATTGGGTAAAGTGCAAAGCACTAATCGGAGGCTTTTTACACGACATTATCAGTCGACAGAATCCCTAACTTCATTTATTTGTTTCACGCACCCTTTTTCCACCTTGTATTGTATTTGGACTTCAGTTGCCACAAAGCATACTCCTATAAAAGTGAAACTGTTTCAAACTGCGTTTACCACCTGCAGATCCAAAATCCATTGATTCTAACTATTTGAGGTAAAGTGTTGGTGGTATATATGGGTGATTCTTCAATTTTTTCTGCGCTATATGCTCAACATCAGGGCGGGTGGCAGTGTGATGCGTTTGACCTAATGTCTTATGGAATCCAGATTTCGTTCATGGTAAGTATATTCGTTAGTACATTGATGATACTGCTGCCGACGCAGAATTTACCAGAAATTTGTCAATATTTTGTGGTTTGCATTCTACATACATAGTTTCATGTGCTCTATGACACCACAGGACACTGGAGATTTCGCACTCGTTTACGAGTCATCCATGACCCGAATATTTCGCGAGGGACGGACAGAAACGGTCCGCTCGTGCTCGGCGGAAGTTGTAAAATTTATCCGGGCCATGTCGGACAACTCCACTACAGTAAGTTTCAGCCACTTATATCCGGCAACAGCACCTCCGCATCTCGTTTTTAATAATGCGTTTCGAGTGCAACACCTTTTTCAGATTCTTTGTCACATCATAAGTTTATGTGCTCCTCAGTTCCCTAACCTTTATCAGCCGCTGCACCTCGGCAGCGATCCGATATCTCTTCATACTACTAACAATCTAAAAGTAGTTCGGAGGAAGAACAAATTTTACCGTATGTTTGAGACCCACGCGGGACCTGGTCACTCGAGGAGTTAGTCAGCAAGTATGACCATCTTGTGTGAATCTCGTGAGTGAGTTACCTACAGCGCTGATCATGCGCTCGAAACCACACGGTTGAGCTTTCAAACTACCAACCCGAAGATGGCAGGTTCGAGATTCTCTGATGCGCACTGCCGAGGATTTCCAATGAAGATGAAACAGCGGTACAGTACTTCTCAGCTTCTCAACCTACTTCGGCTTCACTTAAAGGTTGAATCACCCATAGAATTTACACCTGTATTCATATGACACATCCGAGCTTTGTTATTGATCCAGAATCTCGGGCCTCGGTCACGTGACTGTGGAGTGCATTCATTTCCTCCTTTCCAAATCCGCTGGAAAATAGATAACAAAATTTGCCACCTTTCCATTCCATGCTTTCTCTAAAACTAGTCCTGTGGTGGGGCATAGTCATCAGATTAAACATCTCAAACTCACGTGGTATTCACTTTGGCAGTTTTTTGCAGCCAAATGTTTTAACCAATACCAGGATGGAAATTTCGTGGCTGCACACCGCTTCCACACATCCGCGAAGCAAACACATACCATTAGCTTGCTTTGAACAGCGTATTCAGTGGACAAACTGCTATCACATACAAGAGAATCAACTGGGGTTCATTGAAATCTCCATGTAATAATAATTTCTCTGCTTAGTGCGTGGTAAACACGTTGTTCTTTGAGTGAGCTTTTCGATTGACGCAGACTGACACGCCCATACCGGTCCTCCATCTCAGACAACCTCTTTTACAGACTATTTTTCGTGAACTGATTTTACGAGACCGCGTTTAGAAAACGGTATTCCACAGAATGAACGGCTGTTTCTGCTTATTGGCCAAGAAAATACCGTTTGGCGGACTGACTGAATCCGAATCGGAAAGGTGTTAAATCGACTAGCGTTGCCCTTTTCTTACCAAGTGGACGATTCAGATACAACAGCTGCGAGCGAATCCTCAAACCATACTGCGTTCGTATAGATCCATCATGCTACGTGCCTTAAGAATAAAGTGAACAGATTCGATCAAAATCGATCATCACAATGCTAAGTGTTATCGTGCTGTACGTTCAAACATTCGTGGTCAGTCTTCTTGAGCCACTTTCAACGCTATGAAGTGATAAGATAACATAAGGACATAACACACTACTCATAAGGTTGCTGAAAACTTCCTGACAGCCTACGAGTGATTTCACTTCTCTTGGTGTGTTTGTCGAGATCACTCGGATTTAGCCCTACCGCTTAAGAAGATGGACAGCCATGAATAGCTCTTGAGCTTCGTAAACTTACTGGTGGACACAGTGGCCCTATCTTCATTACTGAGGGTCCCCAGTAGGACAGAATGATTATGGAATTACTCTGTCTAGGATAACTTATTGTATCACTATTGAACTCTTATCGGCCCAGATAAAATATGACTGGCCACGATGATTTGCAAATTTACCTTCGAGCTTTATGGGGCGATGAGATGTAAATGTTTCTTTTCGTGAATGTGTGAAAAGCAAACATGTGTTAGAAATTTTAGCTCGTAGCCTTCAGGCATTGTGAATGCATTTTACTTCCTCTTACATCCGTTTCAGGCCGAACACTGCATCGAACTACTTCGTGACGCTACTAATCGTCACGTGAGATTGGTACGGGATGCCATGTCTGGCAAGGGAGTTGATCGCCATCTGTTTGCCCTATATGTTGTTTCCAAGTTTCTTCATATGGACGATCAATTTTTGAAGAAGGTGAGTCCGGATGACATTTCCGAATGACAGCTACCGCTTTCTTTTTATCTGGGGATTTCACCACATTCTCTTTAACTTCGTCGTATGCTGTCTCAATCAGGTGCACAGCGATCCCTGGCGGTTGTCCACTAGTCAAACGCCAATCAACCAGACGGGCAGATTGTCATTTCCCGCCGACCATCCGGACGTCGATCGCGGTTGTGGTGGAGGGTTTGGACCGGTGGATAAGAATGGCTATGGGGTTTCGTACATTTTTGCCTCGGATAACTGCATATGTCTACACATTTCTTCGAGCTTCGGGTGTCCGAACACTGTGAGTTACAACTTGTTCTTGAGTGTTTGCTAATCTTGTGGCGTCGTTATCCTGTCCTCGTTCCTACATTTTTCATTCACATACTCCTGGGCTTATAGGTGTGTGTGATGAGCTCTCTACAAACTTCGCCACAAAAGGTGGTGTCGTCGTCGAAATAATAAGACGATTGCTGGAAGGTGTTCAAGACCTCAGTGTTCAAATCGTTGCTGGTGAGAACCCTGTCCTATCTGGAGTACACAGACGGTGTCCCTCTCATCTTTGAAGACGAAGTGCAAAGCCTGCTGAATAAACTGACCACTATCACACCATACTTCGGCATGCTCTTTGCAAAGTCATGCTTCAGAATGTGCACTCTCTGAACATACCCCTTGCATTTCAAGGAGAATCACTGGAGGTTGTGGAGACTTTTACATGACTCGGAAGTATGTCTGATGAAGCTAGCGCATGAATCTCACTTTTGCTAATTTGCACCATTTATGGCATCACTGAGTCTCAAAGTATGCACGTACGTAACGGCTGTATTCTTGTATGGTTGCGGGACATAGACTCTACGTACGGTTCAAGCAGGGAATCTCCTGGTTTTCAACCACCGATGCCTCAGAAGCGTTATTGCTTTCAGATGGCGTCAACGGATCCGTAACGCGGCAATTAGGAAGCGAGTGTTTGGTTCACCTGCTTCAGGCACGGAAAACATCCAACACCCTTGTCTGCGTTGGATCGGCCATGTGCCACGCATGTCCAGGTATCGTCTACCGAGGCCAGATTTCTTTCTCCTTGTCAACTTCACAATGGCGCAAACCACGAGATGGATGACTTAGCAAACAGAGGTTGCTGGGATTACGAAGATTGTCAACTTCACAATGGCGCAAACCACGAGGTTGCTGGGATTAGGAAGAGTTTGGGTGTTGTTGGTTCGGTAAGCCTTCCAAGATGGAGTCCCCGCGGTACCACGTGTGACGATACGTCGCTTGACGATGCACTCTGAGGAAGGTGGAAGCAAATTTCTAGAGTAAACTAATCCTAAGAGGCCGATCGTGGTTTCCGCAGCATTCCGTCGTCTCGTCGTTCAAATAAGATAGGCCAAGCAAAGTGATCCAGGTCACTGGATGTGCAGCGGATCAGTGGAGCAGGTGAAAGACATTTTAGTTGATACGGTAATTCACTGTGTTGTAATATCGCGTTATTGGTCTGTCTGTGAAACGGCATTCCGGCAGATAGTCTGCGCCACACCCGCAAATGCTGCTTATCGTGGTATAATTGTTTGTTTTTCGGTAACGTCTTGTTCAACTTATCACTTTACGATCAGACTGCGTTCCACCAAACAAGGCATGTGGTTAGGCACTTGGTCACCGGATGTATGAATCACATGATTAGGTGGGTGTGGCTTGTAACGTTTGACCAGACCATTCACCGAATTGCCGCTTCCTGCAAACCAACGCCAGTAACTCGGTGTTTCTGGAATGCACGGTGCTCTGAAATCTACACACCGAAAGGCAGTAGCAATCGCTTCGCAGCGTTGTAGGTGTTGTCTTTCCCGACAGTGCACTATCACCTTATTGACTATGATGCACAGGTTGGAGGAAGCTTTGATGTCAGTGTTTGCATGAGAGATGGATGTGTTCAGATACGCGCATCCGTTGATTACTTCGGACATCCCAGACTCATACTAGATTTGCTGTTACGCTCAACCAACTTTTATGATGGCACTGTGCACTTCGGAGGGCTAAAATGCACTGCAAGATGTCCACTGACAGTGAACTACTTAATTGTATTTTTACATTCGAATGAAAACTCAATAAAATGATGACATGTAGACCTTCCACACGCTTTCAAGATCACCGTGAAAGAAGTTCAACGCCAAAGGTAGTTGACACGATAGGGGCTATTTTATATCATTTTCGGTCCGTCAGTTGCCATGTCTCTCAGTGTCTCCAGCGAAACACAGTGAGGACCTCAAACTGGAAGGCGAACAGTACCAACAGCATCCAAACTTTTTGTAACTTCTTTCATTCCCCCCTGACGTCAAATTCTGCCCATCTCCAGATTTCCGCCCCTCCAAATTAGTCATAGAAATGAACGTTCTTCTCGGCGAGCGATGACCTGACATGTGTAGCACCGGACGCAGACACTTAGCTTCCAGTGCTGGATTCATTCTTTCAGCGAATTACCGTCCGCCTTATCCAAACCCCGTTTATCGATCGTTAAAAAGATCGTTCAGCTGAAGCACCGTTTCGATGGCTAACTGCCATGCCACCCGAAGGTTGCACGAGGCTGGGACGGTTTCGATGCCTAACTGCCATGCCACCCGAAGGTTGCACGAGGGCTGGGATGCTGCCAGGTTGCCCAAGCCTAGACAGGGGAAGTCCAGAGGCAGGGGTCGGGTTTGAACCACCGACATTTCGGTCAATGAATTCTCGCTCTAACCGCTTGGGCCATCTCGCCCCCGTCTACCGATCACCACATCCAGCCATTTTCGCCCGAAACTAATGACCGATGGGTACTAAGAACACAAAGGCTGTTTGCCGTTGAATCAAGTAGTGGTTTTTGTTATTGCTATTGTTGTTTTTGGAGCAGAAAATTCGTGATTATACTTCACCGCTGAGCACCTATCAGTTTCTCTCCCTCTCTGTTTCAGTCCTCTGAGCGATTTGCAAGAACCATCGCTCTTGCATTAAACCGTATTCGTGCTTTGGTATCAGCTCCACGACTATCAAGTGGAGTATCCGACATTTACTGAACAGATTATCTCGTTTTATCGAATAACCGCCGTCCTTTGTTCCCCCTTCCTCCTTGAGTTCCTGTGGTCCACTCTGGGTCTCGGAAACACCAACTGTAACCTCATTTATGGCTCTTCCATACTACCAGTATTTCTTTAAACATTTGATTTTAGTTATGACATTTTTTTATTTGACTCAAATGTAACGGCTTTATTCAGCTTGGTTGATTCCCATTGCTTCAAGATGGTTCAGTGGTTAGAGTGCGAATTTACTGACCTGATAGTCCATAGTCAGAACCCGACCTCTGTATGTCGACTTCTTTTGTCTAGGCTTGGGCAACCCGGAAGTATCCTAGCCCTTCAGGTTCTTTCTTCAGGTGGAATGGCAGCTAGGCATCGGCTGAACGATTACCTTGTCTCTGTCACTCCAACTGCCTCATATACCAAAATTTGTTCAGGTTTCAGTGGTCTCAACAGCCATAAACTTACATACTCAATTTTCGATCCTTCGCGCACCAGTTTGGCTATCGACTTCCGATGGAATCATGCTTGAATAATGGTTGCGTGCGTGTCCTCCAGCCGTCTTTTCTCTCACGAAAGCGGTCCACCCTTTGGAGTGGTATACATGTGTCGCAAGATGTCTGACCTATAGTTGTAACGGTGTATACTACTGATGAAGCACGTGAGTGGTCTGCGGTTCGGTGCACAAGCTCTCCCTCTGAATATGATGGAAGATGAGGTTTACTAAGGAAACTATCGAGCCGCTTTTCAGTGTTCATTCGTTATGGTTCGCTATTCAATGAACGTTCAGGAAAGTTCAAGAGGACACTTGGGAATTTAGCGAAGTACAATTAGTTGCAAACTAATTTGGTTTCTCCAGAGACTTACCTGGAACCTAGCTGAATCTCTCGTTTGTGATGTTTTCAGGCAGCTGAATGTGCTGCATATTTCAGTTGCTACGATATTCGAGATATCGCGATATATGTATATATTTGTAATGCACTACTCATGAGTTACAAATGAGTGTGTTTCGTTAAATTCGTGCAATTTGGATTCAAGTAGGACATAAGGTTGACAGAAACTCCGGGATTGCGCCTACCTGATGAGCCCCTAAAAGGGCGAAACAGGTCGTGGGCTGTCGACGGATTTTCAGTAACCTTATGAGTAGTGCATTACAGATAACTTTTCTACGAAGGGCAGCGCCTGAATAGCCTACTTCTCTAGTCATCTTCCTTAGCCATAGCCCCTATAGAATCCAACAGTGTTTTTATAATGGATCATATTCGGCGACACCTTAAAACATTGCATTGTCAATCCACTTATGAAAACGTTTGGGTTACAGGCACCGACCGATGCATTGTAGACAACAACCTGTGCACAGTGCCCCACTGGGGCCATGTTTGTTAGCGTCACTAGGCTCAAAGTTCCGATCTACGTAGACAAGTACTACCAGCGGGAGTAATTTTTATGTATTCCACGGGTCAGCCAGGACTTCTCCTCCCGTAGGTCATTTCTACTCATCACATGATTGGATAACAAGAGCTCTGCATTCACAACACCCAGTCACGTGAGCACAATCTATGGAATGTGGTAGGCCGAAATCTCACCCGTGAGTAACTTCATCCAGTCTATGCTTGGAAGACACCCATTGTCTTCTGTTCGCAGTTCCCATTTCTGACAGTATATATACATGGAAGTCATTGCAGTTTTGCTTCTAATTTCACATCGGTGTCATCAATGTCAGCGGCAAACTTGATTTTCCCAATTCGAGGGACGGGTCCACTTTTGGTATGGTCAATACAGCTGCCCAAGTACTTGAACTGATCAACCAAACTGATTAGTAGTTCCGCAAATAATACGTCTGGGTTTTTGTCTGAAGCAGCCTTGCAGTGGCGCTTTTGCAGGTGCAATGCACTGTGCAGTAGAACTGTTCAGGTTACGCAGTGTCACCGCAGCGTAAGACCCAAGAAGTACCAGTCTTCAGGCGAATGTATTAAAAGAACTGTCTATCCTGCTGGTTTCAAGACTGACTGGGATCGTTTCATGATCACGTCTATAATAAACGCTAGCAGGAATAAGGGCTTGGCACCACCAAATATGAAGTACTTCGGCGAAATCACACTGGTCACGTGACTTAACTTAAAACGCCTTCGATAAGGTCGAAATTTCAGTTGGGAAGTTGCCGCCAAAATGCACGAAAATCAAACAGACATAGTCTTAAGTTAGGAAAGACTGCCAATATGGTCGTTGAATATATTGATACTATTCTAGTGTTCTTTGGAGACAGAGGGTGTAAACTATAAGGAGCCACCCATTTTGATTTCTTCCCTGATCAGATTACGATCAGAGAACATCTTGGATGCCACAGCTACTTCTTTGACCAAGAGATGCCACATTGATGAGCTTTATTGCTTCAATGATTCGACGAGCTACAGTGACTCACACTTTGTTCTACAAGTTTAAACAATGTCGTAGGAGAGTAGCAGTACCACAAATAATGGGAACGTGAGCCAATCTGGGGCAAAGGTCGCGCTTTTCCTTAAGACATACGTTTCGGGATAAAGAGATGTTTTTCTCATATGAAAGTAACATGTTTCTCTCACTTAAAGAGGAACGCCATGGGAAATAATGAATCCAAGATCCACGAGTTCAAAATAACCAAAGACCGCCTTTGACCGCCGGTGTATGCAAAAGGAACTAAATATGATTATGTTGAAAAAACGGGGGTATATGTATGTTCTGGGTGGGACAGTTTCAGACGAATCTGCCCTTCTAACTGATCACTGACGTGAGATGTATGCTTCAAACTTGCCCGCTCGAGTGAGAATCTCATTCTGGTAATCCTACATTGACACCGGTTGCAAAGAATTTAGGGATAACGGTCATGCCTAGAGTGCCGAGACAGTGGCAACTCAGTACTTTAGAGATATATCAAATGGTTGCAAACTCCCACTCCAACATCAAGTTTGCCGATGAGTTACAACAATTTAACTTCATTCCTTTGGTGGAGGTTTTGCTCACATGCTGTAGCAGTGAATCGCCATCCTGGACTACTTGTCGTAAACGGGACTCTGTGTCCCAGTAGTTCCACTTTTTTGGCTCTATTCTACTGCACAAAAAACGGAATTTCGTGAGGTTTGACGTGTTCAGCCTACACAGTTGGTTCTGGTCAGTGTTCATAGTCGGTGCTCGATTCTAATGAAGATGCTGCATATAAAGACGGATCTGCTGATAAAATTTTAAAGAGAAACATGTGGCCGAAGCCAAGGAACAACGCTGCTTCAACAGACACATCCTGTGAGATATTTACAGGCCGCTAATATAGATCATTCTTTATGACGCATTCAATGCGGACTAGGTAGGAGTTACATTCACCAACCGACCAATGGTCAGTCAAGATACATCAGAGGCCGGTTGTTTCTCGGGGCCACAGGTATGTACATAGGTTCATTTTGAAATCAGGTACGGTCATGAACTAAAAGCTGTCATCACCTTCTAGATACTTTGGGGCTATTCATAGTTGATTCTTACGCCAGTCGCCGAACATCGGTATTCTATTTTCTTCCCAAATACGATCAGTTCAGGGACACGGCCACTGCACGTCGTTCTCCCTTAGAAAAGATGAGACTGACCGTCTAGAGAAGGTGCGGTTGCTCGCAACCAAACGGATTAACAGTTTTGGAGATGTCCTGCATGAAGAATGTTCACAAAGACCTCACTTTCTGTTGGACTACCGATGTCTTGCACCCACCGAATGTCCATAGAAAAATTTGCCGTAGAATTTTGGGACATCTTTAAGACTATCATTTACGAAGGTCTCACACGGGGCCAAACTCTCAAGCTGTGCAAGTCAAAAAAACTTTCAACGCTGAGTTTGACTTTTCCTGCCGACTGGTTAAGTATATGGGTAGAACGATCTCTCGCCAAATAACTTTAATGCCAAGTCAGAGAGATGTTTCAGACGCAGTTTGGATGCTCATCTCTGAGGCAGTGGGGGCGCCGCGTTTGTACTTAAACGGGGTAGGCGTTTTCATGAAATTTCAGACTCAATGCGGCTGTTCCGGGAAATGTGGAAAAACAATTTTGATGGTTAGCGAATATATACTCAACTGCAAACTAATTTGGTTTTTCGAGAGACTCACCTGGAACACAGCTGAATCTCTGGTTTGTGATGTTCAGCAACCTTATGAGCAGTACATTACAAAGATATATATGTATCGCGATATCTCGAATATCGCAGCGACTGAAACATGAGGCGGCCCGGTGTGGTTGTCAATCCACGTAGGATCATTAGAAGAAACCGGGGGGTGGGGGTGGAAATCCCAACCGACCAAAGGTCACAGCATCCCTCTTACACAACTTTCTTAGCACTAGCTTACCCACACAGACTGACAGAGGGTTCAAACGAAGTTCAAGAGGGAACATCAAATGAACCGAACCAGAAGCACTAGACCCTAGGCTGGACCCAAACACGTAGGTTTCCCCACTGACCCAACACTTGTTCAACCACTCT